GTGGAGGGAGGCCACCCTCTCATTCACCAGGGTGAACCCCAACACACAGGCACCAAGATGTGGGGCAATAAGTATGCCCACTCCTGCTCGGCGCCTCTCACCAGGGGCAACTCCAGAGTGGAAGAGTGTCCAACCCCTCTCAAGGAAACTGGTTCCAGAGCCCGAGCCATGCGTAGAGGTGAGTCTGACTATTTCTAGGCGGAACCTCTCAACCTCACACACCCGCTCAGGCTCCTTCCCCACCAGTGAGGTGACATTCCACGTCCCAATAGCCAGCTTCTGTAGCCGAGGATCAGACCGCCAGGGTCCCCGCCCTCAGCCACCACCCATCCCACATTGCACCCGACCCCTTTGGCCCCTCCCATAGGTGGTGAGCCCATGGGAAGACCCCCCATGGGCTCACCATCCAACATGTGCTCAACAAGCTGATCTATTAACAGAGTCCCAGCATTTGACATCTCAGTGGGTGCACGCTGCTTCACCCTTTCCATAAGACCCCTCAATGTGAGGGAGAGCTCCTGAAGACTCTCTCTCCCTCTGGCTGTCCTCCGGAAAAGAATGCCTTCTGAAGAGCAACATACAACTCTGAGCAACAATAGATTTCCTATAAAATCTCAAGTATCTCTGTTTCTGCACTAGAGCAACCCTTTTATTTCATACCTGGCCTCTCGGGCTCTCATCCACACTTACTTTATCCACTCACTCAAACCTATACCCATCCTTCCTCTAAAGATGGACACTTCCTATCTCTAGGCACAAAAATTAATCTCTCTGATACAGGAAGAATAGGCGTGGAAGAGGTATCAGGTAATAATGAAGAGGTGGACGGCTGAGCACTTGGGCCAGCCTGTCCTTGTTGCAGCTGTTCATTGTCAGGCTATAAAAACTTGCCACTAACTCCGAGTTCCTTTATTTCTTCCTCCATAATTGCCATGAGCTTACTCTGCTACCTGTGATTACTACCGTGCAGAAAGCACCCTGAGGCTAAAATTGTAAACACCTCACCAAACACTTGTGAAGATCTGCACAGAACCACTGCTGCTCAGTCTCCAGGCAGTCCAATCTGCACACAAAAAACAATTAACACCAGGAAAATATAAAGCAAAACCAAAAGAATACCTGTCTCAAATGTTTACAAAAGTACTATGTATATACACACACATACACAAAGCCCTACCAACAACGCCATAAATGAGGTGGTACCGAGTGTTTCTCATTAAAATTATGTGATTTACAAGGCACACCGGTTCGTAGATCTTACAAAAATACTTGGGACATCTGGGACAGACTTGCAAATTTAGAAAACAGTTTATTAATTTCCATTTTTATAAATAATTTTTAAATACATTTTAAATATTTTAACAAATCAAATAATCAGTTTAAAAGTTGTAGTCCAGACCCAGGTGTGTGGCTAATTACACACGCCACTGACACAAGTGTCCAGGGCCCGCGGCCCAAACAATTCATTGTGGAGAAGTCCAGTGAAGCAGCTACAGGCGTCTGAAGACAATTAAGTGCAATAATCTGGAGAACCTAAACAGCAGTTGTTCTCCATAAAGCCAGAACACTGGTAGTCTTCCGTAGAGACAAAAGTTGTAACCTCAGTAGAGACAAAACAGCAGTGATCCCAACCTCAGCAAAGGACCTATAAAATTCAGTCAACTAATCACCAAATTTGAATTTGAATCAAATTCAAATTAAATTTGAAGCTGACAATGAGTTGGGATTAGTGATGGGTCCGGCAACCCCAATGTGTCGGCGCATGCGTCAAACTCATAAAGCAAAACCTGTGTCGGTGCGCGTATCGCTATTAGAAAGTCACATGACCAATACAGGAGCTGTTTCGAACAGACACTGAGGCACCAAACTGTGTTTATAAGCGTATCTGTCAACGAGATGCATCTGCCAAAATAATATTTGAACTTTTGCCAGTCATCATTAAATTAATCAAGAATTATGGAGTAGCCTCAAACCAAAAGAAAGGTTTCTGTTGTGTGGGACCATTTTGATCTCATATCAGAAAATAAGCTCTTTGTTTTAATTTCATTGTTGTTTCTTCCTGTTCTTAGAGTTTCCACTTGATCTATCTGAATTCAAATTCATTTCAAAGTCACTCTTAGTTTACCATTCATATTATTTTCTGCAGGTTAAATGTCGCATTTGTTCGACAGAACTTTCATATTTAAATAAATCCACCTCCTCAGTGCTGAGGATACTCTTGTGCATCTCCCCAAGCCACATGTGGCTCGCCATGCTTTATGGTGGCTCTCGTCTTGTGACAGGTTACAACAACACACCAGCACAGCCAATATGCTTTTAAAATGTGCTGGCGCATTGCGCAATAATTGCGCATGTCGGCTCAGGCTCATGCGGTTTCACGAATCATACAGTGCAAAGAGATCTAAATAAGAATACAAAATATAAAATTGTGTTAATCTACTTGTTGAGGAGGAGGCAGGTCAAACCGGCCAGTAGAAGTAAAAAAAAAAAAGTCCTGTTAACTTCAGATGCATCAGCTGATCATTACCGACCGCGCGTGTCTCTGCACCTGCTGTCATCTGGGGTGAAGGATGTAGCAGAATTACAGGGCCGGTTCTAGACAAGGTTACATGAGGGGGCAGGTGGAAATGTGAAGGGGGCATCTTCATCCGTACACATATTACAGCATATTGATTGATGAGCATGGACTTTGGTTTTCATTGTTATTGCTGACTTGTTTTCTTCATGGGACTGGGGTAATAGATAAAAACTTAAATTTTTACACCTGTGAGTCAACATTTTCAACCATGAACACTATGAAGCAAAAACAGAGAAACCGACTGACCCACGTCCATCTTGAATGTCTCACTGTGGCTACACCAACAAATTACAAATAAAACATGAAGAAAGTGAAGAACATGCAGCACAACTTCTCATCCCAGTATAATGTACATTTTGTTTAAACAGATAATGTGCTGGCTGTTTCTTTTTTGTTTATAGGTGGGTTGTTTCTTTTTTTTTCTTTGAGTGATTTGGGGTGATATCACGGCTCTCCCCTTGACTTTGATATGTCAATGTGGCTCTTTTGAAAAAAAAAAAAAATCAATAAAATAAAATAAAATAGTGAGGATCACTGCTTTATAGGGCCAGGCACAAGAATAAGTCCCAGATACATCCAGGGTAAACTCAGGTATACAACAATTATATAACTTACTCACAGTTGCTTTATTGATAATTAATTCTTCTTAATTTATTCTTTATCTCATTTCTAACCATCAAGCTTCCAGGAAGCAGATGTTGGATGAGGCTCTGCTGATTTTCATCCTGAAGGACTGCCAGCCAAACTTTTTTTTTTTTTTAGAATAAAAATTTGTTAAAAAAGAACAATCCCAGTCCACAAGCATCCTTTTTTTATTTGGCCTACCTATTTGTAAAAAAAAAATACAAAAATTGTATGACTTTTTATAACTGATTATTGTTGTTGCTGTTGTCCATTGTTGTCATCTTTCTTTGTTGAAATCAGGTCTCTCTTGTAAATGAGTCCTGGAGGCTCAATGGGATTTACCTGTAGAAATAAAGGTTGATTGAATGAAAAATCGGGCAGCACGATGGTGCAACTGGTAGAGCTGCTGCCTCTCAGCGAGCAGGTCCCTGGTTCAAACCCCGGTCCAGGGGCCTTTCTGGGTGGAGTTTGCATGTTCTCTCCGTGCATGCGTGGGTTTTCTCCGGGTACTCCGGTTTCCTCCCACAGACCAAAAACATGCATGTTAGGCTGATTGGTAACTCTAAATTGTCCCTAGGTGTGAGTGAGAGAGTGAATGGTTGTTTGTCTCGTTTGTCTCTATGTGTCCCTGTGATGGACTGGAGACCCGTCCAGGGTGTACCCCGCCCCTCGCACAGTGATTCCTGGACATGGGCACCAGCGACCCCCGTGACCCAAAATGGAATAAGCGGGTAAAGAAAATGGATGGATGGATGGATGAAAAATCCTCATTCACAAGTTCACTTATATTTTCACGTTATGATACATGTTCACATTATTTATTGACTTTATCTAAAAATATCAAAGATATTTTAAATTTAAATGAAAATATGAAATATTATAAAATATAATGACTTAAATCATATTATTGTATCAAATCAGTGTCAGTTGAGTCTGTCAAATAGGTTGCCTGTAGGGATTTTTAAGTTTCAGCAGGTGTCAGTATGCAGTGGCACAGTATCAATACAGTTTGGCAATGTGTTGAAATGCTTCATGATGCCTCATCAACCCATCACTAGTTGGGATTCAACTACTCACCTGCTGACACACACAGGAGGAGGAGGAAGACAGCAGCAAGCTTGGTGTTGACCTGCGATCACGCCAAGATGAGCACTCTAAAGATCAACTATAGTGCAACAAAGGAGGACACCTACCCCACAAAGGCCACAACAGCACACACAACACGATCAGCTGCTCAGCCACAACCAAACTCCACAGGTTGCAAGCCACGTAGTGGGAGCAGGAGGAAAACAGGTGCCAGGATAAGCATTACCACCTCCTTTTATACTCTGCCTACCTCGTTCACCAGGAAGTGACGTTTCTCTAACCAGGTATATTTTCATACTGCTACATTTTATATATGAATGTTTCTGGTCAGTGTCCTGAGATGACTTCTGTTGTGACTTGGAGCTTTAGAAATAAACTGAATTGAACTGAATTATTTGCTCAGAACAAGTCCCAGTACTTTTGGACTGATTAATGCATAAAATTGTATCCTTGTTTCTACAAACTCAGTTTGCTAGGGTTTAATTACACCAATGAAGCTACTACTAAATGCTAAAAACTTCCCAGAACCTCAACCTGAACAAAATAATTTGTAGGGATCAGATTATTTTTTAATGACGTGTAAAAGTCTCAGAATTTGAAGGATGTACCAGTTTTTAACATTAGTGGGATTTATATATTTTTTTTACTGTTTCAGCATGAGGTACATGGGATTCTGTAGCACAGCATATTTTCTTGTTCAGTATTTTCTTACCTGTATAGGCAAGTTGTCAATCAAAGAAATGATCCCAAAGAAGACCAAAAGTAGGTTGGTGAAGATGAATGCTCTGATGGCATTGGTCAGTTTCTGGATTGTTCGGTCTCTCTTTGGGGTGCCTGGTTGGCTTATGAAGCCATTGTGAAATAATAGTTTTAGGTCAGGAGGAAGTGAGGCTATAACAGGGTCAACATGAAACATTACAGGATCAGTATAAAGGCTGGAGTTTAAACACGTTTGGTAAAGGGTCATTTGAGACAAATAAAGAGGGACAAATTCTAATAATTAGAGCCATGCTTGTACACTAACCGCCTGATGCTCTGTCTGATGTTCAGCAGCAAAGAGATGCACAAAACCTACATTATTAATGTTCTATTCAGATAAATCATTTCATACCTCTTGCTTGTTTGCATGTTTGGGTATTCCTCATCACATTCTTTCATCCGCCAGTCCATGATGTAGCCAATCAGAGGACATGTCACCAGACAGAGAAGCTGCATGGCACCAAAGACAGACGAGTAGAAACCAACTGCAGAGGACAAGAAAAGTCAACACACGAGCTAGAAGACAACCAACACAGCTTGACTTGTTCCAGAGTTTAGACCTCATCCTCACAGGTCTTTTCTAAACATGTTTCTCCACGTTTATCCATTCAAAAACACTGATAACAATCCAAATGCTGCAGGACATTTGTTGCATGAAGGGGAAACTTTATAACATATATTTATTATAAATTATGAATTAATTTGTGAATTAATTCAAATTAAACATTAAAAAAATGAAAAAAATCATGGGTTATGGTTATAATTATTATTAATAGTTACAAAGTATAATTTATTTTCTTTTGCGTCAATCTTAATTGCCCCATAATTATGTGAATAATTTTCCTTACAAGAGACCATATACAGTATAAGCATGGTCAGCTGAGATGCTAGATTAAAATGAATGTAAAGAATAGAATACTACAATAACTATAGCAAACAATGACAAATAGTTTATTTTTCTAATTTGACCTAAAATGTTTTGATTTATGATTAAAATTAGAAAAAAATATCTGAAGTGGTCAGGGAGCATCTGGATGAAAATATTATTTAATAAATTGAGGCAAAAGATGACTTAGCACTAATTTAAACTGTTTAAATTACCAACACTTTTGCTCTTTCAGTTGATTTTATTGTTTTGATGTTTGCTTTCATGTGTTATCAGCACTTCGACCAACCGTCTTGTTTACTGAAGTGCTTTATAAAAAAAGTAGTAATGAATTAATCAGGGGGCAGCACGGTGGCGCAACTGGTAGAGCTGCTGCCTCTCAGTGAGCAGGTCCCTGGTTCAAATCCCGGTCCAGGGGCCTTTCTGGGTGGAGTTTGCATGTTCTCTCCGTGCATGGGTGGGTTTTCTCCAGGTACTCCGGTTTCCTCCCACAGACCAAAAACATGCATGTTAGGCTGATTGGTAACTCTAAATTGTCCCTAGGTGTGAGTGAGAGAGTGAATGGTTGTTTGTCTCGTTTGTCTCTATGTGTCCCTGTGATGGACTGGAGACCTGTCCAGGGTGTCCCCCGCCCCTCGCACAGTGATTGCTGGACATGGGCACCAGCGACCCCCGTGACCCAAAATGGAAGAAGCGGGTAAAAGATAATGGATGGATGGATGGATGGATGTATTAAACAGATAATTTGGGGTGGGGGTGAAAATTAAACAAAATGAAAATTTTTCCAGCTTAACATCTAGAATGGATCTAACAAGTTGGAGTCAGGTCCTCTGGACAGACTCTTCTTTGTTGAAACATTTCATCTTTTATCTAAAAGACTTCCAAAAGGATGGCCCAGCACAGAAGATCAACATCATCAGGCCAGGACTCTGAGGTCTACACTCATCTCCAGGTCAGTGGTCACTCTTTCAAGGATGAAGATGTTCACATCCTGGACAGAGAGGAACGATGGTTTGAGAGAGGAGTAAAGGAGGCCATCTTTGTGAAAAGAAATCGTCCATCGTTAAACAGGGGTGGAGGCCTCCGGGTTCAACTGTCCCCCTCTTACAATGCTGTGATTGCTAGTATCACTCAGCCCTCTGTGAACAGTAAACAGCCATCAGGTGCTAATGATCCATTGTTAGGCTGATGGTCCTTCTTGAGCATGTGATCAGCTGGTTTTGGTTGTCAGCAGCAAAACTGGTTGATCCACTCTGAGACGGTGCTATTTAAGAGACTGAGCTGAATACAGCTCCTCAGACTGAGGAAGTCTCTCGGATGAGAGACGAAACGTTTCTACATTTTTTTATTGTTGATTTGCTTTGTTTTGTTTTTTTGAATGTCCAGAGGACCAGATTTAACTTTTTTAGATTTTTCTACCTGGATTATTGAGCATGCATCAGGATATTTTGAACCACTTTGGCCAGGATTGCCTCAAACTAGTTAGAGAGTTTGAGAAAACAGCAAGGAAGAGGGCAGACTACAGGAACCATTTGCGATTCAACCTCAGATGTCGACAAAGTGGCATCATTCCCAAGAGCCTGGAACTAAAATCTTCGGTCAGCGGGCACCGGGCAAGCAAGATCCTTCAGAAGGCACAAACCCAGCTGCTGAATGAACGGGTGAGACAGACCAATTTTACTATTGAGGCCTTGAAGGCCAAAGAAGAGCACATTAAACAGAAACTAACAACGTGTCTAGATCAGACCACACTTCAGCAAGTGTTGGACTGTACAGATCAGGCACGCTTAGCACAGCATGTCAAGTCCAAGACTCGACAACAAAACAAGTTTAACTTACTAATAACTCATCAACACCATCACTATTCCAATAACAACACATTCAGTGTAGGACAACACTCCAGTAGTCAATTACA